AAAATAATTTTATGGTTGGGGGTCACCACAACATGAGGAACTGTATTAAGGGGTCGCGGCATTAGGAAGGTTGAGAACCGCTGCTAGTTGTAGAGGACGTTGCTTCACTGGCCCATGTTGGTATTATCATTGCGATTATCATTGTGCTCTTCCTGGGTGAAGCAGATCGGTCGCCGGCCACTGGACGGCCACTCACGGCAGCTCTCGGCAGCTCACGCTGGCTGCTGGCCACTCATGCCGGTTGCCAGCCAGTCATGGTAGCTCACAGCAGCCCACTGTAGCCTCACTGAAGCCTACGCCGTCACCGGCAACTCACAGCAGCCCAGCTCCAGGTCGAACTGTTGTTCACCATCTTAGCTGTAGAGAGTGCAGCGTCACTGGCCCTCATGTGGGATCAGAACCAGGACCCTGCTGCTCAGAGCTGGCGTCCCAAGCCAACTCGTAACCAGCGCACCAGTCGGCCGGCCCACAAAATTCTACGTTCTAATCAACACATTTCTTGAGCATCTTTTACAGGCCAGCACTTTCATATACATCATTTCACTTAATCCTCAGAACAGTGATTGAGATTAGAGCAGCGCGGACAAATGAAATAACTTGTTTGTGGTAATTTAGCAAATGATGCTACTGGCTCTCAGATTTAGGTCTACTCTCATGTTGGGAATCCAGGTAACTGCAGGTATCTTGCAAAATGAGCGGTGGGCAGAAAGTAGCACTGGCTGATTCCTGAGCACCAGCTCCACTCCTTCCCTTGTCCTTTCCCCTCTACCTTTGGCAACTTTGAGAAGCCTGGAGTCCCAGGTGCATTCACATGCACACATACACATTCCTTGAACTGACAGTATGAATTTGTCTGTCTCTTCTTGATCCCATCGTCACTGAAGTAAAGTAACTCGTCACCTGATCTGGCTAAAGGTAAATTGAAAAAAATATTAGTACATACGGTCGTTGCCAGAGCAGGTGGAATTCTTGACTTCCCCAAATACTTCATTAGTAAGTGAAATACAAGGACAGAGGCATACCTCATCTCAGATGTGTGCTAGTGTTCCAGATGTAGGTGCTTTCCCCTGGCTGTGTCTCTGAGCATTGACTTCTGCATTGACTTTTGCCTCCAGACCCTGAGGCAAAGCTGCATAGATGGGAGATCTGGGCATCTTAAATGGATGGCCCCCCGGTAGCCGGCTGACTATTATAATATTTCAAGCTATGGATAAGAATCAGGCCCACCACCTGTCTCTGATTTCGTCTCGCATTTGAGGTGTTTTGTAGCGTGAAGATTTTAATGAACTATGCTTAAGGTTTCTTCATCCTATTGACTTTATTAGTCTACGTGCATTAAGTTAATGAGGTTGCTTTTCTCGTTGTGTTCATAAATATTTAAAACTGTGAACTTTCCAAAAAAATCAATTGCATAGGCTTATTTGCCTTCATCTAGCTTTTCTTAAACATCCATTAGTGACCAAAAAATGGTTATATAAAAGCCTGATTAGCATTTCCTGATTAAGATTCATACACGTACACCTTTATCATCCACGTTTTAGATGGCCTAAAAGCAAAAGAGGTGAGCCAAAGGAGAGGGCAAGGCTATGACATTGACCGTATCTAAAACTGCTCTACAAACTTATTAACCTTGTTTGTACCATCTACCAAAAAAATGCCGAATGTAGGATATTATCACATATCTACACCTTTTCAAAGTAGCTGAGAAGAATGTCCTTATCATTTCCTCAATTATTCAATGTCTTCTTATCATCTAGTTTGAATATTAGAAATTTTACTTTCTATGGCTTGGCATAGCGTGCTGACCTTATTAGTAGGTATATCCACTCGCCGGTTGGATGATTTGGAGGCAAAGCACGTCATTTTCAAGATGACCCAGAAGATGCCTGAATATACTTTTTTAACATTTGAAGCTCCCTACAAATGTGAAGGATCATTATCTACTTTTCATTCTTCTTCTATAAGCACGTTTTTTCCCCTTTAGAAATTACTCAATATATAGCCCCTCCAACCAGAGAAAAAAAGGATTTTTGTCATTTTCCTTAATTGTCATTTTTCTGATTTGTCATTCTGTTAAATCTCATTGTTTCAGGGTTTCAAGGTCATAAAAAATATAACAACAACATTGGATGTCTTATTCTTTAGTGAACATAGCAAACCTTCATTTTCCATTCTCTCTGGTCAAGTTTAGCATTTCTGTTAGGCACATAGTAATTTCAGGATTTCGGAATTCCTTTCTTCTCAGAAAGGAAAATTTCATTGTTTTTTCCCTAGTTCCATCTTGAAAACTTTTGAAACTGTTTCCAGACTGTTTTAAATTATAAGCAAAACTGGGGTTTCCTAAGGTCCCCAGAAAAAGGCTGGTCAAGCAGCGTCCATTATATAAAATGAGTCATGCAGAGGAGGAAGGACTAGAAGTAGAAAAACAAATGATCTTCAGGGTTGTCTTACTTCCATAAGACAGAGAAAAGTCTCTGGCAGTAATCCTTTTAGAATTAGACAGACATATGAAGCAAAATGTAACTAAATGAATACTGAATGACAATCTTTTTTTCTAGTTCATTAATTTTGCTTAAAATTGACTTGAAATACGTGTATTTTAATGTAAGAATGTGTCAAAGCTGACACATTCACTTTAAAGTTTTAAAATGTACTAATCCGTGCTAGAGGTATTTATAGCACGGGCCCTTTAGTAGATAAGTTCTCCAGACTCAGGAACTGTCTTAAATATCGGGGTGCCAAAAAAATGTATACACGTGACTTGTGTTCATCTTTTGTTATTGGTATATATTGAGTATTATAATTTTAATAGTTTTTTTCCTTTCGTAAAATGTGTATACATGGTTTTTTTGGTGCCCTCTGTCGGTCAATTACTTCTTGTAGTAACTTGTAGTTTTTTATGGTGGCAGTCATTAACATTTAGAAGATATTTTTCTTGGGGAGTTATATGTTGGTGTATATTTTTGAAAAATAGTCTTTGCTTTATTCTTCTTTGAGCTTGTTTTGTAAACCCTTTGCATTTTGGGTCAGCCTCAAAATTAAGATCCTCCAAGAAATTCAAGGCTGAGACTCAGGTCTCTAGAGCATCTTTACAAGTCTGTCTGCAAGAGCCACCCTTGTGGTCTGTTGCTGGAGCAGTGCAAAGAACAGGAGCTACTGTATGACAGTCACCCTGAGGGTGTTTATTAAAATAGATTCCTCCGCCCAGCCCCGCACCCAACAAGCAGTGTTTCTGGAGGTGGGGCATGGGAACCTGCCTTTTAAACTAGCTCCCCAGGTGACTGCATACTAAAATTTGAGAACTGCGGCCTTTTGGTATATGCCAGAGGTTTTGTCTTCCAGCATCATTGTCTAAAATGCAGTAAAGCATCTTGTTCCTCAATACTGACCCAGAATGAATGCACTTCTGTTCATTTTGCAGCCTGTAAATCCAGGTCCTTCAACTCCAAAGATACCTCCCTTCCCTTGGGCAGTTTAGTAATTCTCCTCTCTGGTTTCCAGGTCTTTGTAGGCACCTTGATTTGTTAATGATTAAGGGGCGAGAGGTTGTGTTTTCCTTAAGGAAGGAGAGAGCAGAACAGACTCAGTCTCAAAATATTGTTGGACGTTGCTATATCTTTGTTATTCAGTGTTACAGTCTTGTTAAATTTCCATCTCTCTGTTAAGAACTGAACAGTTCTCTTGCTTGAATCAGAAGTATTGGAAAAGATGTTTTTGATGCCTGTGGACAGAATTCAGGGGTCAGTGAACTTGGATGGGAAATAGTTCTGCATTTATTTTCATTGACCCCCCCACCCCCCACCCCCAGTGAAATTTAGCATTTCCTTCAGTTATGGATGTAGGCAACGAACTACAATAGTTCACAGAAGCTCTATCTGTGATTTTATTGCCAATAGAAAGTGCAGGTCTTTTCATATCATATTATTTGTTGTTGGAGAGATCTCAAAATACTGCTTATGCACATCACTACAACAAATTTACAGCAATTATTAGACAACTGCTAAACCTTGTTATATAAGATTTTTGCTGTTGTATCATATTTTTAAATTATTTTGATAACTATTTTTCAATATAATTGATTTCTACTGAAATATGTATTTCATTTTATGCCTTTACAAATATTATTTTGAGAAGGGGTCAGTTAGCTTCACTACACTACCAAAGGAATGAGGTACAAAAAATGGGGAAGAACACATATGCTAGATCTTGTGTAGATCTTTTCATCCAATACCATCTCTTTTTTTGAGATATTTCTCTTAAATGAACTATTTTTTTCCTATTCTTATAGTCATCTCATCATTATGTATATACACTTTTTTTTTTTTTACCATAGCTGACTCCACTGGAACCCATTCTCTGTACACAACATACAAAGACTATGAAATTATGTTCCATGTTTCTACCATGCTGCCATACACACCTAACAACAAACAACAGGTAAGAGATCCTTGTGTTATCTCTGTTTCTTCACCCTTGTTTCATTTTTCCCTGAAGCCCAAGTGGCAAGTTTGTAAAATCTTAAACCAGAATTTAATGTTGCACCTGTCACAGCAACAGGAAGCTTTGTACTTTGTGGAAGTAAGGAATAGCAAATGAACTGAACACAAATGAAAAGATACAAATTCTAGGTTAACAGCCAGCTGGATGGCTTTGTGCATTAATCGTTCGCTTTTCACCCACGGGGATTGAGGTTTTCATGAAATCGGAAGAGAACAAGTTGAAATCATGGTGATTAGATGACTCTGCAGGGTTTCAAAGAACGCATATGAGTGGGTGAAGTTTCATCTCAAGAGGCCAATGTATTATACAAAACAGGAAAGTACTGATGTTTCATTTCATGTCACAAAGCAGGTTTGCTGTACTCTGATGGACAAAAATCAAGTGTCAGTGGGATCCCAGAACAATGTTCTTCTTAACATATTGGTCAGGACCATAAATAACAATTACATTTATGGACATCATACACAGTTTCTTTTTAGAAGTTCTAAAAGCTCAAGGCCTATTACTAAAATGTTGTCAGTGAGAAAGTACAGTGCCAAAACTAGGAAGTGACAGATTGTTATAGAGCAACATGGAAACTGGCAGTATTGTTTTTAGAGAGTATGTGGTAGTTGTTTTTAAAAAATATTTCAAAATAAATGATACCAAACTGAAATTTAAAAAGAATCAGCGAGCTAACAGACCCTCCTGTCAATCTCTATTATAAACACGAGCAATCCAATATTACTTCTGACCTTAAAATGGATATAGATTTTGTTATTGTTAATTGTTGTACTAACAGAACACAGGCCAGCTGCAGAATGAATCACATCCTCTTTCATGGAATTTAACCAAACACAGATCTAATCTAACACTTCATAACTTTAGGTTTGATTAAATCACAAATCTTGGTAATAACATTTTGCCTCTTAGGATGACCAAAGTCACCAAAAATAGGAAGCAAGGCAGTGGATCAGCTATTACTCTGAAAGAAACTAATTTTAAGATAAATTTCCTGATCTGGAGTTTGTTGACAATTTGTTTTATGCAAATTCCAAGTTCTAGATTTCTCTGAGAGGAAAACATGCTGAGAAAAATATACTAAACCTTTTATTATGATCAGTCATCAGACAACAAATTTAAAAACATTGACAAATGATCTTTAAAGGGGAGGTGAAGGTTTATTCTACCTGATTACTCAGCAGAGAAAGGTAAAGGGGTAGTGGTAAAATATTTAGTAACAAGATTCAAGTATTATTTCTAACTAAATGAGTTGAAGTACTGAGCAGAGTAATTGGTACTGCTACCTATTTAAGCTATTTTAGTCTTCTAGCTAAAGAATTTATTTCTTCAATATAGATTACTTTATGCTTGGGGAAAAAAAAACCAATGTGTCTTTTAAAAGCTTTTTGCAGGAATTTATTTATAAATATTATTTTTCATTATATGTAATGTGCGCTGGGTAGATGGGTTTATTTCTACTTAGGTCCTTTATTTCTACTTGGGTCCTTTATTAAGACATTAATATTACATCTCAAACCATATTTTGAAGAGTGACATTGCATCAAAAAGACAATGACATTACCTATGCAAGAATTACAATATATAGACAAATTGTGTTTCTGGCATGTCTGTGACCCTGAGTAGATTAATAATCTTTAATAATGGGTGTGTTCTATACAGCAGTCACTACAGGCCAGCCTCTATTTCGGTAACATCTGATCATATATCATGTTTAGAAATGAAGTAAATGGCCTCATTAGAAGATAATTTGGGATGCTTTAAAATTCCTAAGGTTAAGAGTACAGTTCCTGGACAATTCTCAGCCTTAATCTAAAAGGCTATTGTTTCTCCAAGCTGGCAGCCAAAATGAGAGCATTGATTTTACTGGTATGTAGTTTATGTAAGTTAAAGTCACTGGAGAATTTTTTTTGAAGTTTTATAAATGAGGTCTTATGGCTAATATAGTGGCTAGTTTATATAAATGTCATGTTATTTTCCTCCTTATAAAGGCCTCCGTGTATAAATACGAGAAATACAAATTTAGCTCAATTTTTATTCACACTGTTGAATTAAACTATGTAATAAACCCCTCCTGAAAAGGCACTCACCTAGGATGACTTGGGGTGCCTGGATTTGAAAGTCACCTTTCCAAGACACTGTTTAATATGAAGCAGAAGGTGGTCTTAAGTGCTTTCATTGTAATTAAAGAAGCTATTTAAACTTGAAATTTAACCTGCTTTTAAATTAACAGCATTCTGGAATATTATTAACTTCTACATTCCCAGCTTACGACACAAAATGTATATCAGAAAACACCTTAGCCACATTTCTTTAAATGGAGCCCATTAAACCAGAACACAAATTGTATTGTAATTACTGCAGCCACTCTCAGATCTAAAAAAATCTTCCCTATGGCAGGTTCCTTTCTTACATGAAAATGGAACAAAACTGTTGTTATGGAAACTGAGTATTTAGAGATGTTGGGACTTGGCAGAATATGCCAGATATTGGATAGATCTATTTGAAGGGGCTGTATATGTTTTGCAAATTTCAGAATATTCACATCCATATCCTTCCTTGGAGGGAATAAGAAAAGCCACAATATTGACAATAACTGCATAAATGATCTACCCGAATGTGTCCTGGTTAATAATGAATGCTGTAAACAAAGTTGCATACGGGAATTGAGGAGGAAAACACAGAGCATTGTTATTTATGTTGTTTGCTTATTGTTTCTTTTAGCTCCTACGGAAGCGGCACATTGGAAATGATATCGTAACAATTGTTTTCCAAGAGCCTGGAGCACAGCCGTTCAGCCCAAAAAACATCCGATCCCACTTTCAGCACGTTTTCGTCATCGTCAGGGTTCACAACCCCTGCACAGACAGTGTCTGTTACAGGTACTGGTGCGGCCACAGTGGCTGGATGGGCATTGGCTGGGTCTCATGGAGGACCCCATCCAGCTCTGCTTTATGCAGGGGCAGTGGGAGGTCTCTTACTATTGATTTTTGTCTTTAAACTCTGCATGCGGGTGGCCAAATTCACATGATGACGTAACCTGATGGCATTGACATTCCCCAGACATGTTGGTTAGACACCTGCTGTTTCCATTTGCACCTCCTTCTTAGGTGATGTCCTTCATCCATGCCATCTGGTCACCAACTAATTACTCATACTGCTAATTATATTTTGCTTTTGTCATGGCAAGAGCAGAGAAGAATGATGATAGTAAGTAGGGAAGAGAAGTTTTTGTTTGTTTGTTTTTTTCATTAATTACTATGTATTTAAAGAGCCCAAACCATTGCTTAAGACTGATTCACTCTAATATTTTTAACTGTGATCATAGAGGCATTTCTATGCTTTATTAAGCATTTGGTGGAATTGCTACAATGTTCCTTGTTGACCTAGTCTCATGAGCCTCAGAATTCAAGCATTTATCTGCAGAGGCCTTCGGGAGAATTCTGGAAGGGTTTGGTGTGGAAAATGTTAAGATGCTGGGTTGACATGGGTGTAGTGCCAAGATGTAAAAGGATATTCTAGCATTAGTAAGAGGTTTCTCATAGCAACTTAGCCTTTCAAAATATGAAATTTTATGATAACCTTTTGATCCCTGAAATTTGGAAGATGAGGCTTTGTGAATTTTGGATATTTGTTTTTGAGTTAATGTAGCCACCTATGCAGGAAGTGGCCAACACAGACTGGCAATTGGTTTGTTGTGAGAGCCACAGCTGTCTAATTGTAGGTATAATGCGGATTAATTATAGCCATAGAGCAAGAGAGTTTAAGGAACAAAGCATGTACAAGTTATTTTGGACCGCTGCTGACTGCTGCCATTCCTACACGTTCCGTAGTAACCATACATGTTGAACTCGCATTATAAGCCCCACACTATTCTAGGCATGGTACATGGGTTACCACATTTAATTTTTAAAACCTATGAGGGAAGGACTGTTTTCATCCCGATTTTCAGATGAGGAAACTTAAACTCTCGGTGAGCGGTAACTTGCCTGAGGTCAGCTGGTACTGGGCAGCTAGTACCAGGTAGAGCTTCGGTTCAGAGGGCTCTTAATGCCTCACTCACTTGCCTGTGACATGGGGGCCTTTGCTGCCCTTGCTGCTGACATACCAGAACTTTCGGGTGTCGTGCCTGTGTGAAAACCCAAGGCTAGGGAGGTCTGTAGTTTCTTGGGCTCAACGGGTGGAAACGCAAACAGAGGAGACCTAGATCTGAAGCCTCTTATGAAGACTGTGGTCTCTGAAATCTGCTTGAGTGAGATGTGGAATGAACGAATAGGTGAAGGGCATTTGACTATGACTGGGATGGATAACTGTTTGCATTTAGAAAATACCCCAGGCCATTGAAACATGCTATGTACTGATTCCTGCAAAGGGTTTCATCCTACTTTGTAGGTGGAAAGCTAAACCCTTTTTGAATGGTTGTTAGGAAATTTAGGGAGTGGAAAGCTGTACAGTTTCTTTTAAAGAGAGCTGCTTCTTTAAAAGCCTTCGTTTAAATAGAGTGCATCCAGTATACAAGTAGCCACATATTAATTTTATATTTTCTAATAGCCATGATTTTTTTTAAGTAACAAGAAAGAGGGAGCATTAATGTTAATGATATATGGTTCTGACCCAGTAATATATTTTATTTACCTGATCATACCCAAATATTATTATTTCAACATGTAATTTTTAATTTTAAAAATCATGGAGCTATTTTACATAGTTTTGGACTATGACTTTGAAATCTGGGGTACATTTTAGACTTACAGCTCGTCTCAAATAGGATGCTCAATTTTCATTGGAAATAATCTGTATTTAGAGCTCATAAAATTTGCAACTGGAAAAGTAGATTCACCTACTCAGATGGTTCCAAACGTACTTTTAAAAAGCTTTCCAGTACTTGAATCAAGTGTCAGTTTTAAAAATTTAATATAATGTAATGCTCCTGGGTCACACTAGCCACATTTTGAGTGTTCAGTAGCCACAGGTGGCCAGTGCACGTCTACACAGAGCGATAAAAAGGGAAGGTGCCCTCACCTTCTTCAACACTTTGCTAGATGAGGAGGTGATACCTGTTTTATTCTTTTCAGGCTTGCACCCCACCCTCCACCCCCAGCCTGATAATCATGATTTTTGCTCTCTCTCTTATTTTTATTTGTTGCCTAGAGAGCCCACCTTCTTAACCCCACCATGTAATGCTGGGAGCCTTTGTAGCAGAACGCTGAACACCCCTGCTCATGACACGTGGGCTAGTCTGGACTTTCCTAGTTGCCAAGCTTATTTGAAGACCCAGCTCACTGCTTATAAATTGTGAATTTTGCCCTTCTGTAAATCCAAGGGAACATATCAGTTTGTAACATCACTGAAGGAAATCATAGGATACGAAAGCATAGTGATCTTTTCTTGTTGTAAGCTTTAGGTACATTCATTTTTTTCCCGGTCCTTCTCCGAGTAAGAGAGACATGTTTCCTGGGGAACGTGGTGATATCAGGAGAGGTTTAAAAGCCCAGAATAAATAGGACACCTCTCTTGTCATCTTTAATGCTTGGGGAAAGGGGTATGAAGGGGTGTATTTTCTCATGAAAATAAATGTGTTATGATGTAGAATTGAAGTGTATCAGTTTTAAGATAAAACATGGGTCTTCGAAGACTTTTTATACCTGTGACTTTTTCTCATAACCCAGGCACTCCCAAAACTACTAGGGACCTGAATTTATAAGGCCTCTTTCATTAAGAGTACCTTGGTGGGAAAGTTTAGAGCTGTATTGATGTATACCAGTTTTATTTAACTCAAACTGAACTTGGTCCCTAAGTGACGTAGTTAGAGTAGTTGAAATGCTTATTATCATTTAAAACCTCTTGTTCCCGAGACGGCATCCATGGTGAACACTCACATTTGGTTACTGACATCTCTTGGTGCCCGTACGGTGGAAAGGGCAACAGTTGTTTTCTCAAAGGAGCTCCTTGCTGTAATTGTGTAAAGAAGTGTGGAGTCAGTGTAGGCTGAAGTCATAACGAACGCTTAATGAGAAAATGGGATTTGGTGTGTGTTTCAAGGCACAGATGGATAACATTCAATGGGATAAAGAAATAATTAGGAGTGGCCAGTGATATAAACGTATGCTGAAGTGTAGACACAGGAAGATGGCTGGAAAGTACAGGAAAAAGGTTACGACTGCAGGAAAGCTTACTAGCTAGTAGAGGCCCTTAGAATGCCAGGCCAGCAAATAACACTGTACAATGTAGAGTTTTAGGAAAAGTTACCCAATGCCACCATGCATGGTAATTTGTATACACAAAGACTTAATTTGAAGCTTATTGTTGTTGTTCATTTATTTTTTACTAGTTCTTGACAGTCCCCAATCATATGTGGTAGGCATTATTCTAGGTCCTGGGATACAGTGGGGGAACCAAGAGAGAAAAATCCTTATAGTGGCTATGGAAATGAGGCCCTGAAACGTGTGTTTTCTCTCCCTGGGGACTGGAAAGTTCATATAGGAAACACTAATTCAAACTAATTCCAGAGGCCAGTTAACCTTGAATAGTAGACAGAGCCAAGATCTCAGAAATTAATCACTAAATCTGTATAGTAAAGCTTATGTCCATACCTGATAAGAGAGCCCTCCGGTCTTGCTTATTTTATTTGTATCATTACATTGAACTTAACTGTCTGGTCCCAGTTGATAGAGCAGATTAGAAGCAACAAATCAAAAAGATGAAGGAGCTGTTTGGAGGCAAGGATGTACTGGAAACCTCAATAAGTGATTAGAGATACGGGAGATGCAGAAGAAACTATTCATATCAAAGATATAAATGCAATAAGCACAGCAGCCTGGGGTCATTTGGTTTGGGAGCAAACAACTGAATATAATAACTTCACTCACCCCTGAGGGCCTCACTTTGCAAAAACAGTGTAAAATTTTTTTCACTGTTTTTTAACAACTAATGAATTAATGGACCTAGGCATGGATCATCAAAGGCTGCAAATATCACCACAAGAGACAAATATATGTCGCATAATGGGAGAACACAACCCCATGTATGAATTAGTCTCCCCGCCATTGAACCTGAATCTGATCAAACCTGGAGAGAGCCAATTTACAGGAAGTACAAAAGACAGAACCTGTTCGTATTCAACAAAATTCAGACTCTAGACAATTCTGTGTAACGGACAGCCTAATTTCTTCAATAAATAAATTGCAAGGGGGGACAAAATAAAAGAAAGTGAGAGAAGTGGAGGGGAATTAACAGAATAAAAAAAAAATTAGATAAAATTAATTGCCATGTGTGGGCCTTACTTGGATCCAGTTCAGACAAAAAGACTACTAAAAAAATTTCAGGACGTCTTAAGCAATTGAAAATTGGAACATTGACTCACTATTTGACGAAACTAAAAAACTGTTAATTTTAGAACTAGTATAGTAATAAGTGTTTATAATAATGACTCTGAGTCTTTGAAACAAATGTTACATTGTGATTAGTAACTATGTTTGGGGAGGTATAAATACATGTTACTCCTCTCAGAAAGATTTCCATATCCAGTGGTTAAAATGTAATAAATGTTGAAAGGAATGAGTGTGATGTAGCACAAAAAGTGCTTGGAATCAGACCAGATTGTTAAACCTCTCAGACCTGAAATTTCCCTTTCTGTGCAGTGGAAGGTGGCTTCACATCTACTTAAAATCCCATAAGTAAAGCATCTCATCAGGCAGGGAGTGTGGTGTGTGCACGTTAAATGCCCATGCCCTGGATCATTTCTTCTCTCGAATAAAAATAAACATGCAAGCTTAAACCAGGGGGAGGGGAGAATCAAAGTGGGTCAAGTGGTGGAAATTTCTTTCAAAACGTCTATTCCAAACGGTAATTAATCAGCATTCCTATTGTCTAATGTAGTCGAGCTTCCTAAGACAAAAATCTGAATAGGTCACTCTTCATGCTTATTAAGCCATTTAGGGAAAAGCTCAGATTCCCTAGCACAGCCTACAGCATGGAGTCCTTCAGGTCTGGCCTCTCCTGTCTCTCAGCCTCCACTGGCACCTCAACCAGCCCTCCCCCCACCCCTGCCTCACTCTTGAGCTGTGTGGAGCTACTTACAGCTCCCAGAACATACTGTACTCTGCCCCTCCTCTTTGCACATGCTGCACTCTGGGCAGGAATGCCTCTTCTCACACACACCCCGGCCCCTCCTTCCCCTGATGAATTCCTGCTTCTCTTCTCTCTGGGAGGGTTCCTCTGATGCCCAGGACTAGATAAAGCTCCTTTGCCTAAGTGTTTCCAGTAGCACCCCGCACCTCCCCAGGAGAGCATACAAACCACTGAATGGAGCCCCCACCAGAGTTTGAGCTAATGGAGGGCTGAGCCTGTGCCATCTCATCCTTGATGCTCAACACTAACGTGACTAGTGGATAGTCAGCGCTCAGTGAGTCTTGGTGAGTGAATGCTACGAGAAGTCAAAAGCCCCCATGGATGGAATGATGGGCACACGTTTGTTCTGCCACTGCCCTACACCCAGGTCTGCTTTCTTAGAAAGCTCACCAAGCTGGCGTCTGATCCAGACTCCAAGAAGGGGCTACTTCCCTCTACTGTTTTGATGCTAAGCCCCCTTCCTTTTAAATTTTGGGCTGGGAATTGTTGTTTATCGGTGTTTCCATGGTATTTCAGAAGTTCGGGTGTCTTCTCACTTTTTCCATTAAGACTTCTGTTCAGATGTCTCTGGAACATTCCTGTGTATCAACTTGAAATTGGCTTTGGGTATCAAGAACTGCAACTTCCTCCATCGTCTTTGATGCCAGCAAATGTTACAAGGCTCAGACCTACTAGGAGCAGCCTCATAGTGGTTTCTTCGGCCCTGTGACTCTTGTGAAGGATCCCTTTTGCAAGCACCTCAAGAGTGGGAGGTTTAAAAGCATTCCTTTAGAGAAAATAAGTGTTATCTTGTCACAGAGCATACTGTTGGCTGTCCAGAAGCTTAAATTTCAGTCCTGGCTCTCGCTAGCAAGCTCTGGGCAAATCATTTAATGTCTCTGAGTCTGTTTCCTGGAGAAGAAAGGAATTTATACCAGCTGTTCACACGGAGGTTCAGGGATATGTCAAACGACAGAGCAAGGCACAGGCCAGCTTCCTGGTCCGTCAACTGTACTCCAAGATTGGACACAGAACATACATTTCAGTGGAGTACGAAATCAAGTCGAATTTTTAAGATGAAACTCAAGATGTTTTTGGCAGAGGAACACTGAATTCTCCAAGTTTCCTTTCCTTCCACTGCTAACTTTACATCACTGTTTCAGCCACTGAGCTTCTGTCTGTTCTCTAGATACTTTTTGAGTAGAACACCCTAGTCCTCAACAATGCTGTGTCAATGAGGCTATCATTTTAAAGAGTGTGTTATTTCTCAGGAGATAACAATATTGCATGTAAGGCAAACCTAGGTGTGGCCAAGCAGAAGTCCTTTAGAATCTGCTTCTTTTTTTTTTTTTTTTAAGATTTTATTGGGGAATCGGGGGAGGGGAACGGGCAGGTAGACAAATTGCTGTTTTGTTCTTCAGTCTAGTTGTGGAGGACATCGCTTCACTGGCCCAGTTTGGTATGATCATTGTGCTCTTCCCAGGTGAGGCAGTTGCTTGCCGGTCATTGGTCGGCCGCGCACAGCGGCTCCCGGCAGCTCACACCAGCTACCAGCCGCTCACGCTGGCTGCCAGCCACTCACGTAGTGCACGGCAACCCACTGCAGCCCCGCTGCAGCCTACGCCTTCGCCGGCGACCCACAGCAACCCAGCTCCAGGTCGAACTGTTGTTCATCTTAGCTGCAGAGGACGAGCATCACTGGCCCTCAATGTGGGATCCGAACCACAGCCCTGCTGCTAAGAGCTGGTGCTCCCAAGCGAGCTCTTAACCAGCTGAGCCACTCGGCCGGCCCTCTTTTTCTTTTTCTTTTTTTTTTTTTTAATAACAAGAACCATTTATAATTAATACATTGTAAATATCTATGTATATTGTAGCATACTGAAATTTTAGAAAGGCGTCTTATGGAGGCAAAAATATTCTTTCTGCTTAGCTTACAGCAGGCCTAATTATCAAGAGCACAGAATTTGTGGCATCTAAATTAATGAGCTTTTAACCTTGTAGAAAACCTTGAAAGTTAGATTTACCCAAAACAAAACCCTTTATTTGAAAAGAGCATCCTAGGGTATCATCTTCCTCCTCTTCTTCAGTAAGGATTCTATTTCTAATGATGTAAACCTGATTTTAGTGTGTCCCATTTACCTCCCTACCATGGTGAATCAATGATAATTATATGTTAAGGATTCAGTTCTTTCCCTCGTAGTTCCTTCTGGAGGCTTCTAATTATTGGTAGGATTTCAGTATATGTTTGTCCAAAGTTCTATCAGTTAATAAATAGATCTGTAGAAAGCCAGTAAGTCTCAGGGGCCAGTGGATGGATGGTGCCCATACTCACGCCCCCTGCTAAGCATTTTCCTCTCCTTATTTAAAATAAAATCACAGCTGCTTCTTGAGAAAGAATAATGCTTTTAAGTGAAATTAGCAAGAAAAGAAATTGCCAATTTAAAAATGAAAGATGTTAAATATTTCTGGATCTTTATAGGATTCCTCTTAGAAAAGCTAGCAAATCTGTATTTTAGCATCATTTGCTTGACTTAGGAAAAAAAAATAACATGATCAAATTAAAATTATACAGCTGTCAGCATTCAAGCCAGACAGTTCACAATAGACAAGAAAAATTGCCTTTATAATACTGGTATAATTAGGCTATAATGCATATGGAGGCTTCTGTGAATTCTCTCTCCAGTTAGCATTTCAAGTGTTGCTGCCACCTTTCTTTGTCATGAAGTGAACTAGGTAATCTTTTGAAAAAAATAATTTCTGAAAAGCAACAAATAGGCCATTCCATGGCATTTTCTGACAAAATATAATTTGTATCTGAGGCTGCTGTTTATTATTTATCCTGTTTTCAAAAGAAGTTATCATTTTTTGAAAATCAAAGCTGAATATCTTAAAGTAAACCCTTCTGAAAATAAAATATTGAAACAAAGCTCTTCAATTTAATTTGAAAGATGCATGCTCTCAGATTACATCCTTTTAATTCTGGAGGTTCAGAAGAAGTAGATTTTGTATTGCTTCCCTGATACTTAGTACAATTGCATAATTGCCTTACTTTTGAATAATTCGGTAATTTGAAAAGAAGGATGTTTGATCCGTTAGAATCATTTTGAGCCCTCTCAAACGTTGCTGAGGTCCTGGAATGAGATCTTGGAACATGATATAAAACACACAACCTCTTCATTTCCGTTTAACTTCTGTTGTTGTTTTAGGAAAATTTTTTTTTCCTTTTGAGATTAAAAATAATAGGTTATTACAGACACTCAAATGGTCCTTTTCTTAGGCAAGAAAATAGCAATATATATGCAGAAGAAATGACTGGAACAGGCTTCTTAAATCAGTCTTGCTTAAAGGAATGAGAAAAGGAGAATATCCTCACAAATTGTCAGGGTCAAACACCAAAAGTAGATAATATGGACCAAAGAATAGCTCGGTTTCAAAATATGATTTTTAAGCACCCCTGCTATCACTATAAAGATCAAAATCATTTTAATACCTTACTCAAATGTCAATTTTCATTTTTTAAATTATGGTTTTGATTTGGTTGAATGATGCCTGGACACAGGCCAACAAGTAATAATATTTGTTTAATTAAAAAGAATTTTTAATTGGCCGGCCTAGTGGTTCAGTTGGTTAAGAGCACGAGCTCTGAGCAACAGGGTCGGTGGTTTGATTCCCACATGGGCCAGTGTGCTATTCCCGAGCTGAGCTGCGCCCAAGCTGAGCTGACACTCAGATGATGAGAGCACGTGCTCTTAGCAGCAAAGTTGCCAGTTCACCTCCCGCATGGGATGGTGGCTGCGCCCATCCTCAACTAGATTGAACACAGCCCCTTGAGCTGAGCAGCCTCAAGCTGACAGCGGGCAGCCACATGGCTCAGTGTGCAACAAGGTTGCTGGTTCGACTCCCCCATGGGATGGTGGACTACGCCCACCTACAACTAAGATTGCAAGCGGCAACTAGACTTGGAGCTGAGCTTGCACCCTCCGCAACTAAGATTGAAGGACAACAACTTGACTTGGAGCAGATGGGTCCTGGAAAAACACAATGTTCTCCCTTCCCCAATTCCCCAATAAAAATCTTTAAATAAATAAACAAATAATCAGATATTTAAAAAATAAAAAAGAATTTTTAATCTACCTCTCTTATGCATCTTTTGATATTTTCATTATAAACTGTCTGCTTATGGGCATCATATCTAAAACGGAGACCACATTTGTGTTCTTATAGAATCTATGCTTGTTCTGAAAGGTTATCTAATTATAGTTCCCTCACACCCCTGAAAATAATCAGTAGGTATTTAAAATGTGGTCTTTTATGAAGAATACAGTAATTTTTTTATGAAGTTATGATTGGTTTACTATCTATAAATGAAATACTGTTTTTACTTTAATCTTTTTGGGGGTTTTTGGCCGAGAAAAAATTTTATGATCTGTAAATACTAAAATGTGGTTGAATGAAAGTATGCTCATGTTAACCGGAAATGTGTACTATTTCTTGTGAGACAATGACAGTTGCTTTCCTTTTGAGGGACATCTTTATCTTAGAGAAAGTATAGTTTATTCTCATGCTTTGAGACTGACAGGTTGACACGCTTTTTTCTCTTTGATTTTTTTTTTCCTTTTTTCTCTTAGTGTGGCTGTTACCAGGTCCAGAGATGTGCCTTCCTTTGGACCTCCCATCCCCAAAGGGGTCACTTTCCCTAAGTCAAACGTGTTCAGGGACTTCCTTTTGGCCAAAGTGATTAATGCAGAGAACGCTGCTCATAAATCAGAAAAGTTTCGGGCCATGGCAACTCGGACCCGCCAGGAATACCTGAAAGATCTGGCAGAAAAGAATGTCACCAACACCCCTATTGACCCGTCGGGCAAGTTCCCATTCATCTCTCTGGCCTCTAAGAAGAAGGAAAAGTCGAAGCCTTATCCAGGAGCTGAGCTCAGCAGCATGGGGGCCATTGTGTGGGCTGTCCGCGCCAAAGACTACAACAAAGCTATGGAACTGGACTGCCTCTTCGGGGTCTCCAATGAGTTCATCATCCTCATTGAACAGGAAACGAAGAGTGTGGTTTTCAACTGTTCCTGCCGCGATGTGATAGGGTGGACTTCAACCGACACCAGCCTCAAAATCTTCTATGAGCGAGGGGAATGCATTTCGGTGGAGAGTTTTATTAACAACGAAGACATCAAAGAGATTGTCAAAAGGTTGCAGGTGAGCCTTTCCTGCCACTTAACCTACAGGCGGTTTCCCTTTCATAAAGCTTTCAGTACAGACTAGAGCCAAGTTACTGAAGCTGGTGGTCTTTTCTGAGCTCCTCTGAAAACTCCCCTTGATGATGCAAAGCAACACAGAGTTTATCTCACACTCCGTTTCCATCATTCTTCAGAAAGAAAAGTAGTAGAACAAGCGGGGAAAGACACTTACTGTGTGTATATGTTGGAAACCCATTTGCGTGTGACCCGTTGTCTTGGTGACTGATGAGGTAGCCCAGACAATCTGCTTTAGTTGTTGAAAAGGATTGTTTGATTGGCTCTCTGCTGCCTTGAATTTTTTAAGGACAAAATAAATAGCAGAAGATGGTTCCTCTTCGCTGCCAGCTTCCTGTAGGTCTCTGTTAGCGGTTTCCTTTGTAATTTCAGTGAAGCTGTTGTGTTCTTTGGCTGCAGCAAGTAGTTCCTTTTGGCCTAAGGATGGAGATTAGTGAAGGGGAAATACCAGTCTGCTCTTCAGCCGGCAGTAGGGTGTTCAGAGATGACCCTGCTTGCGCTGTGTGTCCAGGTCCATGCCTACTACTTAACACCCTGTTGCGTTACACCATGGTATCTTTTGTTTCCTTGTCTAGTTTGTGTCCAAAGGCTGTGAGTCGGTGGAAATGACCCTGCGAAGGAATGGGCTCGGACAGCTTGGCTTCCATGTCAACTATGAGGGCATCGTGGCAGACGTGGAGCCCTACGGCTACGCCTGGCAGGCAGGGCTGCGGCAGGGCAGCCGGCTGGTAGAGATCTGCAAGGTGGCGGTGGCCACCCTGAGCCATGAGCAGATGATCGACCTCCTGAGAACATCCGTCACAGTGAAAGTCGTCATTATTCCCCCCCATGATGACTGCACCCCGCGGAGGTAGGTCTGAGTTGGCAGCTGTGAGCCTGGGGGTCCAGGGCTGGGTTTGTGTGCCATGTAGAACACCTGCTGGGTAGGGGAATAGGGTGCTATGAAGAGCCCTAGATCACACATGATGCCAGAAGTTCCGTCCATGGAAAGTCTGATTCAGGACACAGCTCCCTTTCAGCATGTGGGCAACAGCAGCTGGAAAGAATGACTAACTTGGACTGTTCCCAGGATTTACATCTCTGCGTTTATAAAGTTGCCGTTACAGATAGAGAAGTCCGGTAATATCCATCTTAAACAGCTTGTACCGGTAGCTGAGAAACATTGCACGCTTACCATTAAAAGGCGCTCAGCATCACAGACTGTCAGACCTTTTTCTTATATGTTTCATGACACTCTTATTCTTCTGAATCTCTCGTTTGTACCCACTTGCTGTCCAAAATTCAAAGTGCTGTTTTGACTTCAATCTCAGCCTGGAGGGCTGAATGAGACTGACCGAGCATTTTCTTAACTGCATCAGTGTGTCAGGAATTGGCTTTGAGTTAAGCTGATCCTGCTCAGGATGCTTTGGCAGTTTGGTGCCCGGCCTTTTCCCAAAGGGAAGCCCAGGAGCTCCCTGCCTTCCCCAGCTCCTGCTAAGCCAGCAGCGCTGCTGAAAATGTAATTTCTCTGTCTCTGGGGGAAGTTTCTTGATGGAACAAATTTAATCAACTGTTTCTTTTCTTCTTTGGGCACACACATGCTATTTTTGCTAGTTTTTATCCCCAATCTTAATTTGCTTTGAACCCATTATTTTCTAAGAGTTTTTCTTAAGCTTTGGCGATTAATTCTTAGGCCTTCTAAAGCCAAGACAATATTCTTTGTCCTATTTTTTTTTTCCAAAAAAAAGATGGCCAGTCTATACCTGAGCTCTCACAGATTCATGAACATCAGATGACAGAATGTATAAACAGTTACAATGGGTCATCTGTGTCCTTTAAAAAGTAAGCAGCAATGACAAGCTAAAAGTACTTCAGTTCTGCAAACCAAATGTTACAGGCAAGACAGGATAGTATTTCATAATACTGCTTGCCTCCTAGATGGCCCAGAGATTATGCGTCTCTGTCAGAATATGGCGAAATCCCTTTGCCTAATGGCCTTAAGAAATGCTCCCTTTTGGATGACTGGATTTCTCTGGAAACCAAAATATGTATCTAGAACTTTTTGTTTCAGCTCTTTTTGGGGGCAGGAGGAATATTCTGCAGTTGCCTTACACACATACCCTGCCTTTGTTAACTCGGTCTTCTCTGGTTCCTTCAAGCTCGCCATCATTCCCGTTAAGCGTTTTTGCTGAACTGGGATTCAAGAATGACTCTTGAGGTGGATACAAAAGGCTGTTAGGTCCTTACAACATTCCCCACCTGCTCTGTGCTCCTACTCCTTTTTTTTTTATTATTTTAAAGATTGTATTGGGGAGTTGGGGGAGGGGAACAGCATTGGAGAATCGGGGAAGGGGAACAGACAGGTAGACAAATTGCTGTTTTTGTTCTTCAGTCTAGTTGTGGAGGACGTCGCTTCACTGGCCCATGTTGGTATGATCATTGCGCTCTTCCCGGGTGAGGCAATGGGTTGCCAGTCATTGGTCTGCTGCTCATGGCGGCTCATGGCAGCTCTCGCCTGCTGCCAGCCACTCACGCTGGCTGCCAGCCACTCACGGTAGCTTATGGCAGCCCACTGCAGCCTACGCCATCACTGGCGACTCACGGCAGCCCAGCTCCAGGTTGAGCTGTTGTTGTTCATCATCTTAGCTGTAGAGGGCACAGCGTCACTGGCCCTCAATGTGGGATCTGAACCGCGGCCCTGCTGCTCAGAGCTGGAGCCCCCAAGCAAGCTCTTAACCAGCTGAGCCACTTGGCGGGCCCTGTGCTCCTACTCTTGTCTGTCTGTCCTCTGCTCCTTGTTCTCTCCTACAGATTGTCTACTTTATTGCTTCTAAACAGGAAGCTATCAACTAAAGAAGATAACCAAGCTTTGTGACTTGTCAACCTTCATCACACAAAGTACAGAGTTATAGCTACTAGTCTAAGGATTAAGCTACTCAAAATGAAGCCTGTAGAGCTCGTGATGTCATCTTGTGTACTCAGGTCTTTCCCTTGTTTCCAGCCCCCCAGTTTGTATGGGGGTGGGGGGCAGCAGAGGGAAACGGGTGTGTGTGAGTGAGGAAGCAGGATGGAATGGGCGATATGACTGACATTGAATTGCGAATAGTCGTTACTAGACAGATGGGCCTGAAGGCAGGTAGGTCCACAATAGGAGGTGGTTTTATCCACCACAGTAAGATACTGAACCAAACAGGCTTTCTGTGGTGTGTTGGTAAAAACAGCTAACATTTGCTGAGTGTTTCATGCCCAGTTCCTGGAAGAAGCACCATTAATATTATTCCTATTTAAAGGAAACCCAAGACTCAGAAAGGTGAGTAACTTTCTAAGGTCATTTGGCAAAGTTAGGTCTAATTTGAGAACCCCAAGCTCTTCGCTGCTACTTTGTAAGCTTGGGGCCTAAACCTTTTCCTTATATTCCAGCATAAGCAGGGACTTGCTTTCTGTTGGGGAAAAGAACCTTGACTTGTAACGTGTGCTGATTCTTATGGTGTAAATACTCCCACCATGTCCATTTTCAAGCTGCCAACACGACACTGCTGAACACAGAGCTGGGATAGAGGCTCACAGCCCGCTCTTGCAAACTCAGATGGGCTGGCACCCACACACCCCTGAACAAATGAACCAGATTTGTCTTTTTCTCCCAGCACCACTTCTCAGACACTAGCTGCCATCCTCTCCTAGCCAGCGGAGCTGGTAGTCACAGGACCGGGGGTGTTGGTTAGGACGTAGAATGAAGGCTCAGTGTGCTGCACAGCCCCATGGGCCTCAGAGGCACACGCTGCTCCTTTCACTTACAGTTCCCATTGGAAAAGCCACTGCCAGATCTCCAGAGCAGGTGTGACACCACACCATCGAAGCCTCAAGGACTGAAAGCTCTGCTGTCCCCTTCCCTCCTTTAGAGACTTCAAAGGAACAGTTGAAGCATTAACACCTTGCTACAATTTTCAGCAAAATGAGATAATTCTACTCTGTCATTTTTTACTTCTCCTCCGCACTTCACACTCCCACTGCTGTTTTCCTAGCAATTAATTACTCTGTTCTTTGACTAGACACTCTCTCCTTCCTTGTCAGCTGTTACTGCAGCTCCAGCGCGAAGCAGAACAGGCCCACTTGAGGCACGGTGACCCCGTCCCCCACCCCCTTCTCAGGGTCGCCTGGATCCTGAAAAGCCATAGGTACCCGGCATGGTGGCTGTACATAATTCCAAACACCCATATGTGTTCACATGGGAGAGTTGTTAGGTTTGAAAAGGCAGGGGTTTCTTTGTTGTTGTTGTTGTTGTTGTTTTAATGAAAAAGGTAGTTTAACAACAACAAAGTGAGGCTTCAGTAACAAATGTGAAGCAGAGCTCCTTTCCCTGTTCTCAGGAAAGAAGAGACCCCTCTATGAATTTCTTTAAAACTCAAGTGTTTTAAAGAGAAGAAAGGACAGGGAAAGTAAAGCCAAATTTCTGAGCCCCTACTGTGTACTGGACTTTTTAAAGAAACTGTGATGGCAGCCTTACTTCCATTAAAACGATGAGGAAAATGAGGCTTAGAGAGGTTCTGTCGCTGCCCAGAGAGCAAACGCCGCCAGCTGGAATGGCAGCGTACCAGAAGCAGACCAGCAGAAACAGGCTTGGTGCTAACCTGTGGACTTCTCTGGAACACTGGAAGGCCTCTCCAGTCGCAGGAGGGGCCCCTTGTCCACTGCAGAAGCTGGAGTTCATGACCAGTGTTAATCTGTTGGTGCCTGTGACCTCTCAACTTGCAACAGCCATTGTCTTGACAAGATGAAAAATACCCAGAGAACAGATTAAGTTGTGATGTTCTGATGGTGTTTCACGGGTGTGGTGGGCCTTCATTTTGTGGAGGGCCAGTATTCTAGTTTTTAAAGAACGCAATCAAGGGCCATTCAAGAGGAAGAGGGAAAAACCAACAAGTTACATAAAAGGACCAAATTACCTTTTAAATGAGAACGGGTCACAAAGTTTTCTTTTCATTTTACAAAAACAAGTGTTTCAAAGTGCGAAAGCGAATGCTTTTGAGCTAGAAGGACTGGTAGAGATCATCTGGTTGCAATCGCTCATTTTTCAAATAAGGGTAAGTGTTTTTACAAGCCAAGGTCACATGGCTTATCAGGGACCTAGCTGTCCTCAAACATCTGATTTTTCTGATTCAAGAGTCCAGTGTTTGATATTTTGTTCAATTGATATACTGTTCAGTTGTTTTTCTATCTTGTTTCTTAGTGTCTTAAGAAAAAAAAGTAGAGTAACAAGTAAAAAGAAAGGAGAAAATTGAAAAGAATAAAAACACTAAAAAAAGAGAGTAATGGGATGGAGTGACTTTTCAGTTAATTTATGGTTTTAGCCTGTCACCATGTGTCATGTTTAGCACTGAAATTATAATTTCTGTTAACCATAGCTCTTTACAAATTGAGTTTTCCATTTTGTCATCAGCTCTGCCCTGAGTAAAATGCAATAGCCACTGTAAGGTGAAGAAGTTCGGGGACTTGGAAGAGAAGCATGCTTTAGTTAGTAGCTGAACTAAGATGAACCAAAAGTAGGTTAATTCTGTGAGTTGAAATCCTGGCTCTGCCACTTCCTGGCGGTGTGGTCGTGGACAGAGTAATCTCTCCAGGCCTCCATCTTCTCATCTGATAAATGGAGATAATGATACACACACTTCAGAGAATAGTAGTAAGATTAGTGCCCATTCCACTGTAAGCTATGAGTGTTAGAGTTACTGTTTTTACTTGGGATGATATAATAAGAATCCTTTTATAAACTTTCATGCATGTCATTAAAAGCCAGCTTTTATCTTTGTTCTTCAATGGACTGCTCACTTCTGGATTCCATGTATGATTCTTATATTTTACAGAGATAAGTAAGCCATCCACTTCGCCACAGGAGGGTCAGAAAAGGCGGGCTGGCTGCACTGTAGCTCTGTGGAACCTTTGTCTTCCATTCTCTATGAATGAGTCTTCTCTCCCTGCGTAGGTTTTCTCAGACTACGTTCTGTAATTACAGAAAATGCAGAAGGTTTCTATTGGGTTGTCAGAAAAGTCATGATGCATTTTTGCAATGAAAACCATAGAAAAAATACGTCACGACTTTTCCGACAACCCAATAGTTACATGTTAGGAGTGATGGTAATGAAGTATAGACTAGAGAAGCAGTATCTTTGGTTAATGGGGTCTTTTAACTAGAATTAAATGTTACGCAGCTTAAGAGACTATTTCAAAGAGTGTTTGAACTAGATGAAAGTTGAGCAATGGTCAATTCCCAACCTTTCGTTTTGCAAAGAAGTGAAGGCTCCCAAAGTAAAAGCAAGTTGTCTTTTTTATATACATCATTATTGTTTCTGTCATCATTATTATGATGCAACATCTCTATCCTGATACAACATGGATTTGAAGCAGCCAATGAAGGGACATGTAAAATGCATAGTATCACAAAACTAAAACTCAGTGAGGGAAACCTCAGTGTGTGCAGGGGGCGTGGGGGAGGGGAGAATGTGGCCTAGGGGGAAGTTTTTAAAACCTGAATGCCCCAAATACATGACCATAAAGTTCTGTACATGTGCAGGTTCCTAGCAGCCTACAGAAAGGGGCAGAGAGGATGTGATCCGTTGAGTTTACACGTTCGACCATTGCTGAGAAAAAGCAAAGCTAGTCCTGATTTTCAGGTGGAGAGAAGTTTTCCCAGAGGTTACTGTAAATTTTTATTAATATTCTTTTGGCAAGCTGTGCATTCCTACGTTACATTTACAGATCCAGAGCACCAGATACTGTGTAATATGTCATATTTAGTCAGCAGTGGAAGACTTCAAACCATACTACAGTAATACTTCTCTGTGAACAGCCAAAAAAATGTTGCAATGGCATAGTTTTGTCAGAAATACCAGAATCAAAGCTAGAAATTATAACAAAGCCTAAGATGGTATTTCTTCATATCAGACAAAAAGGTTTATTACATAAGTCATTAACTGCTTAGAATAATGTCAAATGTTCTGTAAAGCAGTGCTTTACAAACTGCAGGTCATAACTCTCAAGTAGATCATAAAATCAACTTAGGAGTTTGCACCCAATGTATTTTTTAATGAAATGGATTAACACAGAATAAAGCAGAATGGACGCTATCAGAGAAAAGATGTGTGTGTGTGTGTGTGTGTGTGTGTGTGTGTGTGTGTGTGTTGGTGGTTGTGCCTGTATCACGGTGTAAAATGTATTTCTTACTGGGATTGTGGTCCAAAAAATAGGAAAACCATTATTATTAAAGCATAAAACGGGTACAGCAGAACCTAGGCTTTTAGGGGCCTGGGGGGATCGTTAGGAAACTCTAAGGAAAGGTGCCCATTGGAGACTTGGGCTAAGACTGAGGAGGTCAAGGACCCCAGCAAGGTACCTGCTCCAAAAGCAGCACTTTGAAAAGCCATGGCAATCATGGAGACATGGGAGGGCACTCATTGCGGGGTACGTTTGAGGTGTAAGATGTCAGGACTTACACCCCAAGATACATAGACAATGCCATGAAAGAATGGCACCTTCGTGATGCTTATTCTCACACCAACATAAGGCCCTTCCCCAGAATGAAAACCAGGCCTGCGGCCGGATGCCCTTGGGACCTGCTCTGTCTGATACAGGAGCCACGAGTCATCTGTGGTTACAGAGCCCTTGTAATGTGGTTGGTCCCAGATGAGATGTGTTGTAAGTGTAAGAGACATATCAAGTTTAGAAGAATGTAAAATAATTCATTAATAGTTTTTTAATATGGACTTATTGATTGCATGTTGAAATGATAGCATTTGGGATATATTGGGTTAAATAAAATATATTATTAAATTAATTTTACCTGTTTTACTTTTTCAAGATGACTAACTAGACATTCTAAAATTGCATACATGCCTCGTCTTTGTGGCTCACATTTTATTTCTGTTGGACAGCATTGGTTTGGTCACTCCTTATATGAGGTTTGATCAAAAAGTATGGTGAATGTTTAAATTTAAAAATGTTTATCACAGTAAAAGACACATTGCCATTAACCTTCCTCAAAATACGCCCCCTTGCTTCGAACACACTTATCCCATCATTCTTGCCACTTTCTAAAGCAGTTCTGGAAGTCCTCTTTCATGAGTGCCTTTAGTTGCGCTGTCATGGCTAATTTGATGGTCCTGAATTGATTCAAAACATTTTCCTTTCATGGTCATTTTGACTTTGGGGAAGAGCCAGAAGTTGCATGGTGTCAGATCTGGTGAATAAGGTGGATGAAGACACACCGTAATGTTTTTATTTGACAACAATTACCATATCAGGAGCGTTGTGATCAAAAGTATGATGAAAGCTGCTGCCGAGTGCCATCCAACAGAAAGACAGGGATTTTCAATACGGGAAGCGGTGCATTGAACCTTAGTAGCAGTGTGTGACAAATTCCAACTTGTTTGGTGCAGTTGGGTGTGAGCTATGGTTGAGAGAAGATATGTTTTAAAGTGTGCCGTAAATTCTCTATCATGACAATGCTCAGTGTCACACACGCTTCTAGTATACGACAATTTCTGTAAAATAAAAACATTACGGTGTGTCCTCAGCCACCTATTCACCAGATCTGTGCACTGTGCGACTTCTGGCTCTTCGCCAAAATCAGAATGATTCAGGATGTTGAGGCAGCCATGACAGCGCAAGTAGAGACACTCAGAAAAGAGGACTTTCAGAACTGCTTCAGAAAGTGGCAAGAATGATGGGATAAGTGTGTTCAAAGCAAGGGGGACTATTTTGAGGAGGGTTAATGGCAATGTGTCTTTTACTGTAATAAATTTTTTTTATTTAAACATTCATGGTATTGTTTGATCACGCCTCGTGTTATCTCTAAAGTACCTCTCAAAGGGCTTTTTCACAATCACTCCTAACCTTTCCTTTCCAAACCTTCCTGCCTGCTTCTCAGTCTTTGAAATTCCTTTAGGAAAGTCTTTGAAATTCCTTTTTTTTTTTTTTTCTTCACTTAGTGATGAAATTCAAATGCACAATTTGAGTTAATGCTTCAGGGGGAATAGTTTTTTTTCAGTAATTTGTCTATCAATCAAGTTAATGATTGATTCCTCCATGGTGGTTTGGGTAAAGGGAATGGAAAGTGGGATCCACATTTCCTAAGGTTTGGGAATTGGCATAGTGGCACAAAAAGGGGCTAAAGTGACAGAAAACATTTGTACCTGCAGTTAATTTCACTCATGCTGCTATCTGGAGACAGTCCTGCTATGGGAGATTTCTAACTTTGGGAGGGGAAAAAAAAGCCCTATTTCAAATTATGCTTTGTTCCCTGGTAATTTGATAATTGCAGAATTTTTATAATTGGCTTTTTTTTCTTCTTCTGAGCTAACTTTGGCTCTTAGTTTCGATTTCAAAATCCCCCCCCCTTAATTTTTTGACTATCAGGATGCCAACAAATTCAAAATTGTACACCCTTTTAGATCCTCGATCACAATACATAATAAAGGGTGTGGACAGGTGACTGTGTGTTTTCTCTAAAGCCTCATCTTAGGGGCCTGCTGACCTGTCAGGCTGTCCTGGTGGCCTTTTCTCCTCAAGTCTCAATACTGACTCTGCCCTACCTTCCCACCCACCCCCACCCCATCCCCCAACCAGGGTGACCTCAGGTTTCTTTGTTTTTCAAGGACTTCATATCTCAGCCTCCACAGTTGGGATTAAGCAAAGGAAAATACTAGTGTAATACTTCCTGAGGTCCTTGTGTTTGAAAGGAAAATAATTATAGGGCCCAGCAATTAACAGATGGTTTGAAGTAGAGGATGAAGTGTTTGATCCATTTCAACTGTTAATGAGAATCAGTGTGGTTCCACCAACAAGGAAAAACAATCTTCATTTTTCTTCTCTCTGTGCCTTCCCACTTAATAGGAGTTGCTCTGAAACCTATCGCCTGCCAGTGATGGAGTACAAGATGAATGAAGGGGTTTCCTACGAGTTCAAGTTTCCCTTCCGAAATAATAACAAATGGCAGAGGAACGCCAGCAAGGGACCTCATGCTTCTCAGGTCCCGTCCCAGGTGCAGAGTCCCATGACCTCGCGGCTGAATGCCGGGAAAGGAGACGGGAAAATGCCTCCCCCAGAAAGAGCTGCCAACATTCCTCGCAGCATCTCCAGTGATGGGCGTCCACTGGAGAGGCGGTGAGTGTGCCTTCGCAGGTTTGCTCTAAATCTCTGCCCCCGGCTTAAATAGCACCAGCTTTCAGGCCTCCCCATATTTTACTACAAATCAAGAATTAAAACTGAGATGCATGCACAAGTGGCTTTCAAAGCATGGTAGCATTCCAAAGCCATAAGGATAAAGGAGCATATATTCCAGCATAGCGTTTGGCTGTGTGTAATGGTCGTTGTGCTTTGCTCTTTCATTTCCATGGGGGATCAACAGAAGTCATCCCTGCACCTTTAGTAACCACATGGATTAGAACTTGGCAGACGCTTTGAGATGACGTTGACCATAATACCATCTTTGACAGTCTTCTTCTTTGAGGATAAGTGTATGACAATGGCAACAGAATGCTGGGTTTTGGTTGAGAACCTGTCTCTTGGTTAATAAAGAATTGTGAGGAAGGAAAAGAACCAGCACAGCACAAACATACTAGCCACTGCTCTGAAAGCAGAAGAACATAGTGGGTGAGTGAAAACAGAGTCACTCGGTCCTGAATAAAATAAACCAGAAGGAGACGGATTGAGGGATCCGAAAGAGTGAGGAAGCAAGGTGTGTTGTTAAATTGAAAGTCCCAGTGGATTCCCTCACAAATGATAGCTGGTTAGCCCTTCCTTGACAAGGAGGCCCTAGCACTTTTGTCTGGAATTCACTATAAAATGCAGCACTTCAAACCACCGTCTTGGCCAAAAATGAAACTTAGATTAAGTACTTTTAACATGCACAGAAAAATTGGCTATAAAATTTTAAATAATGACACTATAAATGTTTTACCCCTAATTACCTGCATGAATGAACGAGACAGTTTAATTCCGTGCCTCCCAGTCACTTGCTCTAAGAAGCCAGCTTCTTTCTGTCCACCCACTGTCCTTTCCCCATCACTTCTGCTGGTCCTGAGCTCATCTCACAATGTGTTTGTGGCTCCCACGCTAGAAAGGAATCAGAAACCCTGTGCTGGGTAGAAGGAAGATCCCTGTGGGAGCCAGAATGTGACCCTGACTCATCTGAGCAGCAGAGACCAGGTCCAGCTAGAACCGGATGGTAAGGAAAACTGGTTCCAGCTATGTTTAAAGAATCATGGGTTCAAACTGAGAGCAGAAAGCTGGATGTTTGAAAAATCTCACTATGATGTCTTTTGTCGTAGTCTAACTTTTGAGCTATTGCATAAAATATTGTCGCTTAGCTATTTCAGAAATACTAGAATACCATGTAGAGATAATTTAGTATGAAACAAACAAACAGAAAACCCTAGCCTTTCTAAAATTCCTTATTCAGTCCTGGTGATTTGTTTACAGAGCCTTGCTATTTATCTCAAAAGATTCCTTTCCCAGAGTGGCTGCATTCCCATCTGGACTCGTCTCATTTTCGTTATTTTTTAGGAGGAAAAACATCCAAGAGATCTCTGAATAAATTCTTTGTTCTGCACATCCCAAACTTGGCGCTCTCTGAGGTGTGTGTGTTAACTGGAATTCGTGATTTGGCCCACATTTTGAAAGATGAACCGAGGAAACCATTGTTTAGAGAAGGACCTTTTCTTCCTCTCAGAGCTATTTTCTTTCCCTCCAGAACAATCATCAGGCTTTTACAAGCGAAATTGTTTTTGTGTTATTTTCTTTATACAATAGTCCATATAATACAGTAGCAGAATATATTTCAATGCCATGTTGAGTTTAATTTCTGCAGCAGAAACTCAAGCTTCTCTTGTTGCTGAACACACTGACCTCCAAAAGTGAAAATATCTTGTGTAGCTAATTATCATCCTGGCATACAAGCAGCTTTCAGTGCTAGACAATGCATCAACTCCATTTTTTTTTTTCAGATGCAATTCTTTGAGTTCTAGAGGTTATTTCTGCGTGTACTTGTACTTATATCTGCCTTTCATTTTAACTCCACCCAGAGGAAAAGGAATCTCAGGGAGTGTTCATCATAATAGGTTATAAGAGCAGCCCTGTAGCTCTCTCAGCTGTAGAGATAAAGTGGCAAAAGGGAGGCCACCAGTGGTCTGAGGGAAATTTAACCTCTGTTCAGTACCATCTAAGGCAGTGGTTCTCAACCTGTGGGTCGCGACCCCTTTGGGGGTTGAGCGACCCTTTCACAGGAGTCGCCTAAGACTCTCGGAAAACAAAAAGATATTTACATTACGATTCATAACAGTAGCAACATTACAGTTATAGAGTGGCAATGAAAATAATTTTATGGTTGGGGGTCACCACAACATGAGGAACTGTATTAAGGGATCGCGGCATTAGGAAGGTTGAGAACCGCTGCTCTAAGGCCTCTTAGTTTCAGGTATTCTTTAGGACACTGGACTCAGATTTCACATCTTATGATGGAGGGTGTAGGTGACTTGGAAAATCTCAGCTCTACATTATCAGGATATTCAGGTTATTTGGCTCTTTTCTTCATTTTGAAGTATGGAGTCGTTAGATGGATATTCTTTGTCTATGAAAGCTGAAGAGTTTGATTTCCTATGCCATCATTCCTAATTTTTAATAATACAGTATTTCTTTTTAAAGTTTCAACTCGAAGTCGTAATTTGGAAGGTAATATTTGAGAAATTCTGTTTTGCTACTATTTCGGGAATATTTGGGTATTCACAAAGCTTACCACAGAATATAATTTATTCCCTGAAATATACTAACAGATGACTGAAAAATTTAAGCATTCCTTAGTTAGTCTCACTAAGAACAAAACAACTTACTAAGCTATGGAAGCAGAGGCCCCTGGCTGGGCGCCCACCCATCTGACTCTTCCGTTCATACCAGCCCCGCCTCCCATGCCATTTACATCTGCCCCTGGGCGATCTCTAAAGTATGAGACAGACCTTTCAGATGAATCACAAATAGAACAAATGACAAGGTCTGCCATCCCTTGTATCTTGCCTTACCAATAATGGCGGGAGCCTAAGATTGAGACCAAAGTATTGCCTTTACATAGTTGTTTCATCCTGTTCATTTTTCTCCCCCGGGTTAGTTAGGCAAGTTGGGTTTAACTGTAGAGAAACCAGCTGTGTGACCTTAAGTTAGCAGCCATCTCAAGCTCATGCTACACAAATCTGCCTACTTCCTTCACCATGGCTGCATCCGACACGGTTCATTTTAGATGAAAATGTTAATTTACTGCCTGTAGACACATAGTTTTTCTTGAATTGTATGCAAGATCCTAGACTTAAAGGTCATTAGGAACAATTTAAAAAAATATTTCTGGAACCAGATTATCTTTTTTCCTTTAATGCTAAGGTCAGGATTTTTATGACATACTAAAACATGTTGGTGTTTGTAGTTTCTAACAAGAATTATTTCTTTGAATTGTGTTCTCTATCTACATTGTTAAGAGAGACTGATGCAATAAGAACAGATAGATACCCCATTTACCATCTATATAGAATAAAGTCTGATTCTATTTGGTTTAAATATATGAGCTTTATGCTCTCCAGGTAGCCTTTTGAGTATGGAATTTTATAGTATTTGTGGGGCTAATATTTATTAACAGAATTAATATGTAGTCAACAAAAATAGGTACTATGATGCAATCCTTATTTTGGCCTCAAATTTTTCTAGAGCGTAAGGGTAGAATTGAAATAAAAATAGCTAGCCATAGCATCTTGAACTTAACACATTGCTGTGTTTATACATAATGCAGGATCAGTAATAAAACCCTGACCTGTGTTAATATGCTCAGAAAAGCCGAGCTATTTCAGGGGCTTTGCCTAAGCAACAGGCGTCTTAGCATATAAAAAATGTTTCCTTTCTCTTTTTTTAGGTGAAGTATTACCAGCCTTGTGTAAATATTTGGTGTTGACCTTATTGAACCGTTGGTACTTTCGAGTTTTACCTGCTGTGCTATACTGTTCCCCTTCCCCCCTTTCCTCCCCCGCCGCCCTCATTTAGCTCTAAGTAGCTGGATGGAGAGGGCCTCTCCATTTATATGGAGTTAGAGCTGGCTGCATTTGCAGCCTCCCAGCCCCTCCCTCCGCAGCAGACGCTAGCACCCTACGGGGCATGAAGAGTGTGCCTGGTGAATATTGTTGAAGCAAACTTAGCGAGCTCTCCTCTTGGAGAGCATAATAGATAGTCATGTGCTCATCCAATCTTTATTTTTTAAGAAAATGCTTTCTAAATTTATTTCGTACAGGTTCTGTGCTCATCTTCCCTGTGTCATTTTCTATTTTGAGACAAAGCAAGCCCCCATTTACTTGCTTTGACATTCATTCGCTTCCTTTGTTTAGAATATTAGCTGCGGTTAGAAGTTTCAAGACTTGTACTTTTCAAATGCTGTCCACCTGGGTCGTGGTCATTGGACTTGACTTGAGGATCCTTAAATCGTGGACCTTTTGAGCTGCTTTGGGATTGCTCAGGCTGCGTGCCGCCATTGATGTCCATATTTGTCAAGCTACAGCCACCCTCCTGCAGACTCCTTTTCCTTGTCTTCCAAAACTTTACTCCTGGTTTTGTGGGGTGTTTTTTTTTTTAATCATCTCTTTAAACCTGTCTCATCATCCCCAAAATTTTATGTCCCCCACAATTCCTTCCTCCTTTTCCTTTTAATCCCACACTGTACAATATCTCAGAATAGTTTATTTCAGTAACCTCAGCCATCATCTGTATGTGGGCAGTTCCTGAATAGTACACAGAGAGTGCCAAAGAATGTATATACATTTCAAGAAAGGAAAATATTATTCATTGTAATACTCAATATATACCAATAACAAAAGATGTATACAAGTCACAGTTGGCTTCAACAATTACAAGAGGCTCTGAAAGTGATTACCGTCAGTGTCCAGACACTCCTGATCACAGCAAACTACTGCTTGAGCATAGATAACATCTCTTAAAATGTGTATATATTTTTTTGGCACCCCCGGTATATTTTGCCTTGACCCCTCCCTCCTTTTTACGTTTCATATTCATATGCATGACTACCGACTGAACAGCTGCTTGAATGTCACAGTGTCTCATACAAGTCCAAACTGATTTCA